TATTAGAGGTCGAGACTGGTGACTGGAACGCAGACCTCCCACTCAGCCCGTTCCGCGCAGTCCGGGGGGGAGAGACTCGGCCAGAAAATCAAGAAGAAGGCGGAAGAAGAGCGTAGGAGAACTCTCAAGATTGGGGGACTCGTTGCGAAGCTCCCGCAGCCTCGTGAAGGGGGAGCTGCACGGGGTTCACTTGCCGCTAAAGTCCAGCGTATATCGTGCACTATGACCTCAAGCTCCTCGACTATGCCCTCAAGCTCCTCGACCGGAGCACCCCCAGAGCCGCTACGAGCCAAGCTAAAACGAATGGCAACAGTGCTGGACGCGGGGGGACCAACGTCACTGCAGAAAGGTCACCGAGGCACGCACGGGAAGAAAGGAGAACGCCCACCCCTGAGACGCCGACGACACCTGAGTGCCATATAAGCAGTGAGTGTGGCCGACCTGGTAGACTGTGCCTCTCCTTCATCCCGGGGGATTTAGTGAGTCTTCTGGATGTTTCTGTCTGTGCTTTGCTTCAATCCGGGGTGAATAAGGACTGTGACTCTTAATTGCTTCAGGGGGATGCCTCAAATACTGGGGGAACCACCATGCAGTAGTGCTCGCCAAAATCCGGGGAGCCAACAGCCTTTCATTCAGCTTGCCCTTGCCTAATTTGTTTTCTGCAGGGGATGCCCAAACATTGGGGAGCCCAAACTATAGTACTCCACCCTTGTTCTACAGCTTCAAGGACCGGTTTTGAGAGGGAACGCCACCCAGTATTTGCGTTGTAGTCTGCGAGTGCTGGGGGACGTGACCGATTCATGCACTGCATGAAGTTGTCGTCATGTTGATACTGTAATCTTTGTCCTGGTCGTCTCAGCTTCATGCCAAACTTGCTTCGGGGGATTCCTCAAAACGGGGAACCTCCCTCTGACCCAGTCGCAGAGGGCGACAATAGACTCGCTCCTTTGCGGGACCAAGAACGTGGCTGCGCGCACCGCGTGGGGAAGGGGGGTCAGGACTCTCACTCCTCTAAGCCAGTCGCAAGCAAGCAAGCAAGAGAGGAAACCATTTTGGCTCAAGCCGTGAGCGGTTCAAACCCGTGGGGGGCCCTCCGTGAGCCTCTTTCCTTTCTACTTCTCAGCCCCCCACTGGGACAACCGACCTTTCCTCTGCGCTCCGCCTCTCTCCTTTCTTCTGACGCATTGCAGCTCATTGAGGGGGACAGCCTCACGTTCTTCCTCGCGCGGGTTCTGCCAGGTGAGATCGGGGGGTACGGACCCGCACGGCAACCGCGGCTATATAACGAGACCCTCGACCCGTTTGTCAACAGCTACCCCAAAGTTACTGGCGACCCATTACGGGGGAGTACCTCGACATTGCGATCCGCTCCTACCTTTTCGCTGGGTGCGGGACTACCGGTACTTAAAGGTCGTGATATTGGCAAGGCCAAGGAGAGTGTGATCCTCACCCCACGTCTACGTCATGCCCCCTAAACAGGAGGAAACTCCTAAATGCCAGAGGTGCGTCAGAGGGCCATCATACCATGGAGGACACGACCGCAGGGATCCGCAATGCATCCTACATGGATGTGAGAGTCGTGACCTCAAGGAAGTGGGAACCTTCGCACGACAGAGGAAGATAGACGCGGCTGTTCAACAAGCTCTGTCCCAAGGGGAAGATACCCCTGGCCCGGCAGCTATACTGCCACTGCCTCCAAGGCTACGCCTCCGAGCTCCCCATCAGGGGTAACACCCCCAGCAATGGATGATGGACCCCAGAGCCCATGCCGCAGATGTTTACAGGGTGAGAAGACCCACCAAAAACACAATCCACTGGCTCCCAACTGTATATTCTTCGGGGTGGCAAACCTCACTCCGGCGACCGCTCGTCGACTACAACTCGAGCATGACATCGCGTTGGCCCAAGACGATGCCCACTAAGGCCAAAAGGAGGAGAAGGCGTCGTCATGAAGATCGGGGATCGCCTCTGCCTGAGTTTCGAAGGAAAGAAAGCCGCCAACGGGGGACTTCCCCACAAACACAGGAGGACGCAGAAAGTGATGACCTAGCAATGGCTGAGGACCCTTTGCACCACCTATTCGGAACGCCGAGTACAGTTCCGAAGTGCTCTCCTCCAAGGCGAACGCCGATCAGGGCAATGGCGAGTCCACCCGCAGAGTTGACGCCGCCCCCAAGGTCTTCGGCAAGCACTGGACCCGACCCTGATGCAGCCAAGCCAGCTCCGACTTCTACGACGGGGGCAACCTCGAAACCTCAGGAACCAGAGTGGACCCTTCCACCGCCAGTTCGACCTGCGCAACCAAAACGAGGTGGCATCATTAAGGGTATTTCCCCTCTGGAGGCTGGGGCCGCACGCGCTGTGCCAGCTGTGTCCACTCCGGCGCTACCAGACACTTTTCCCGTCACACAATACCGACCTCCATGCGCTCATGCCGACGTACCTGAACCCCGACGTGACCAACCTCTACCCGGCCCTGGAGAACCACAACTTCATCGGCAACAGCTGGCCCACGGGGGAGCTACCAGTGGAAGTACAGCGACAAACACAGCAGTTGATGCTGATAGCCGCGAACTACACGCCAACACCGCTCCTGACGAGCCTGCGGGGAAAGATGCAGCATACGGGAACAACCTCGACCACGACGCAATGCCGACCTCAGTCAAAGCAGAGAACGATGACAAAGGGGACAAACCCCTTCCGGAGCCCTCGGAGACCAACGTGTGGACACTACTTGAACCACTACCTCCTGGATGGCACCACGAGCATGGCCAAAACCGAGGACTTCACCCTGACATGGACGTCTTTGAGGACGGAGCGTGCGAAAACAGCGACGAGCCGATGTTGAGGTACCCTGACGGAGGTGAAAACTCCGAGTGCCAGGAAGAGCCTGATGATGACTCCCAGGCGTGTGAAAACAGCAATGAGCGGGGTGAAAACCCCGAAAGCAGTGAGGAGCCCAGTGAGGACCGCAATGCAGCTGCGAGTGCCGCTCCTTCCTCGCCAACTGGCCCCCCCCCAACTTTAGAGCCAGGCTGCACGAGTTACTGCAGCAGACGGACGCCCAGGGGAGAGTTCCCTATGACCTGGACCAGTACACCACGGACGCTGCAATGTGGGCGGCTTACCGGAGGGCGCTCCGAGCTTCTTACAAGAACCACCGAAAGCAGCAAAGGGCAATGGGGACGTGGTCCAAAGACCAAGCTCGGTGGACCAACACCCCGCAACATGGAAGAGGTGCACGAGAACGCTCCCCTTTACCCAGACGACGCGAGACTAGGGGGTCACCCCTTCCACGGCGACGACATACCTCCACCTAAGACGTGGCGGAGCTGCTTTGCGGAAGTGACCTTCGGTGGGAAGTGAACGCAGCGAGTGAGGCATGGTGCCGCTTTCTACAGGGGAAAAACCCCACGTTTTGCCTAACTTAGTGTCCGCGCAGGACGAAAAGTCCTTGGTATCTTCGGAAGTGCTGGCTTGCATGCTTCGATCCATTCTTTCAATGCGAAGCTTTGTTCCAACTTTCTGCCCAGTTCTCGTAGGGGGGTTAACCTCCACAGGCACAATCTTGTCCAGTAATTTTTGACGGGCCGCCGGAGCCAACCCATACTCACTCACCAAGCCCCCGCTCTGGGGCAAATGCCCAGTGCATTACCATATTAATTACGTGGCCAGCACTTTGTACTGATCGCAGCCTACGAGGGGATAGTTTGAGAGTTTCCTCTAGTTCTTCTCGTTGCTGTTGCCGGGTTCAGGGGCCTTGCTTCCAGTTCCCTCGATAGTGCGTGCGAACTTTCCTCAGGCGAAAATTGCCTTTGTTGTGCGAGTGAGTGTTTTCCGCAAGTCCTCCGCACATGTCGGGGGCGCCGAATGGCGCGCGGGCAGGGGGGTCTCCCCTCTGTCCATAACCCTGCCGAGAAAAAAAAGAAAAAGAGAGAGAGAGGCAGTCCCTCCAAAACGGTCGGGGGCGCGACAGCGCGCGGGCAAGCGGGGCAACCCTCCTACCCCTAACCCTGGCGAAAGAGAGCCCCCTCCCCGGGGGGCCTAGACCGCTCCCTATGCCCTGGAGAAGAAGATGCACACAACAGTGCACCGGGGACCCCCTCTCGAAAACTAGTGTAGTCCTGAGTGTTGTACTACAGTAGTCCTGAGTGGTGTGCCGTGTTGTAACACCGAGGGGATCCCCAGAGCACAGGCCACACCCGGCAATGATCGGGGACATAGAAAACCGCACAGAAGGGGATCGGCACCAACGAGGACACCCAGGACTGCATCTACAGGGGATGAAGTTGGGAGTTGGGGTTCGGGGATCAAGTTCGGAAACAACCGGTGCCGAAACCCTTAACAGTCTCACACCGACAAGCCAGACACGAACTTTGGCGTAGCGCGAGAGCGCGGGGCGAAGGGCCTAAGGACCCCTAGCCCAAACGTCTTGCAAGCAAGCAAGCAAGCAAGCAAGCAAGCAAGATGCAAACTGTCGGATCTGGTTACGGTTCACACCTTTCGGATGCCAACCTGAGGATGCCTGAATGGGTTGGAAACCCGCGGGATTATACACTGTGACTGGGGAACCACATCGTTAATACGGTTTTCCTCGGGGTCTGCTGTTTTCACACTTCACACCCCTGTTACAAAGCCCACCAACGGGGGTGCCTCTCGGCGCGGGGAGCCTGACAAGCTCCCTCTACCCCGGAGTGAAGTGAAGTGAAGAAAGACAGGAGTCCTCTTGCCACTCAAGCTCCAAATTGGGCCGGGTGCATGCTGGCACGGGGGCAGGGGCTTGTCTAACCCAGCAGACGAGAGCCGACCGCATCACCACCCTTACCCCTCCGCATCCCTCTCGGAAGCCTCCACTCGGCATTTCGCTTGCCGTGAGCGTCCAGCTTTTGCGGACAGCGCGCCTCACCAAGACGCCTTATCCGAATCCCACTGGAGTGCATGGCTATGTTGTTCGCCATGTCCCTCCTGGCTCGCCCTGACCGATTCTGTTTCAACTCGAGGTACATGGCCTCATCGAGTCCATCAACCAGCAGGCGAGACTTGCACTTGGAGAGGGGGGATTGAGACATGCTGCGGTGGAGGTGGCAGAGATGCAGGCGCTGGCAGCCGCTGGCAGTGAAGCGCGAAATTGGGTTTGCGCCTGCCCGTCCTGCCTTCAGGACGTGGCCGCAAAGCTCACTGTCCCGCCCCCAGCATGTTCATTTATGCCGTCAAGGCGGATTTCCGACCATTGCTAGTTACTAGTTACTACCATAAAGTTCATAACCCATGCCTCCGGTGGCACAGGTGCTGACATGTTGCTTGTTGAGAGCCGTCTTCACCGCGGGAATCCAGAGCGCGCAGTCACATCCCTGTGCTGCCCCATAGGAGAGTGCTACGGACTTCGCCTTCCGCTCTTTCGACAGCAGCCGCGAGGCGGTCTAGGGTGCGGTGTCGCACAAGTTGGGGACGGCTCGGACCGCTCGAAGCCTCTTACCTGCGTCGCCAAATCGCTGAACGGCATTGCAGCGCCGCGCCGCTGCACAGGGCTTCGAGAAGTTCATCCTGGAGCGGCGACCGAAAGCAGAGCAGAGCGAGACGTGAGAGAGATGTGAGGGAGACGTGAGAGGCAGGCTGCGGCAGGCTGCGGCCTCGGCCTCTCCCCTTCCCTTCCAGGACCTGAAGCTCTACTACAGCGAGCTCTACGAGGATCCTCTGATGCTGCAGGCCCGCAGCGCAGCACCGCGACGCTCGCGCTCTCTTCGGGGGCCCTTGCAGGAGCTGCGCTGCTTCATGCTGAAGTGGCTCCACATCTTTTCCCAAAGCCCCAACCCAAGCGGCTCAACCAACGGGCAGAGCGGAGCCAAGTCCTAGGGGGGCGCCTTGGGCCCCTTTCAGCCCTTCTACGGGCCCAGAGCAGCGAAGCATGCCGTAGCTTCTGGTAACAGCTGCTGGTTGGCTCTGAGGCCTCTTGGATGCCGAGACCAACCCACTGCTGAAGGCTCTCCGCCGCTCTCGCCGCTCTCTCGCCCGGTCATGTCCGGTCGCTCCTCCTCCAGTCAGGGCATCGAGGAGGAATTCAAGAAATGTGAAACGCCAGTGCCTGAGATGTGGGAGTCCTTAAGGGGAGTGGGAGTATCCCGAGAGCTCAGGCTCGACGAGCTCTGCGAAAAGGCCAGCTGCGAGCCTCAAGAGCTCACATGCCGAAGCGGGGCGAAGCGCTGGAGAGGTCACCGGCCGGCTCTCTCGTCTCAAGGCCGCGGGGCGCACCCGCACCGGCACAAGCGCGCGGCATCGCGCGGCGCACCGGGCTTTTGAACAAAAGAGCCGACTCGAGGTTTCCACTCGCCTTGTCCTCGCCCCTGCGGAGTCCTACGCGCCTCGGCCACGCGAGAACCGCGCGAGCGCGCGAGGGTCGCGGCCGGCGATCGAGGTGCTGCCTTCCCAGCGGCCCCAGGCCCAGCTCGCCCTCGAGGAGACATGGAGACACGGAGAGCCAGAGCTCGTCTTGGCTCCTGCAGAGGAGGGTCTGAGCTCCAACGCCAGCTTTGCGACGGCCTCCTCGGCCTCCACGGCCTCCGCGGCCCCCTGGCAGCGCAGCTTTCGGCGCACGCAGGGACATGTGCATGCAGTCTTGCCTTGAGTGAGGCTGGCGGAAAGTGCGGGGTCTCTTGGCTCCGCCTCGACTGCCGAGGGCGTTTCGGGCGTCAGGTCGGAGCCTCTGAGCAGAGAGGCAAAAAGCTCTCCTCAAAGAACGGGCCCCCGAATCCGCGGAAAGCGCCTGAGAGAGGTTCTGCGAACCCGGGATGGGAACTTCGACAGGCACGCGGGCCGCAGGGAGCGCGGCGAGTCAGAGCCGAGAGCAGCGCGAAAAGGACTTGCGCGCTCTGCAGCGTGCGCTTGGCGCCGCTCTGCAGGGAGTGGCCTTTGACCATTGCCTTCTGCTGCGGCTCCATCACCATCCTCAGTCGGACAGCCCGACAGCCCGGCAGAGGATTGCCTTTAGACCTTAGACCCATTATACGCCGCCTGTGCAGGAGGCACTTGAATCACCTGCTCTACTTTGTGCGAGGGCCTCGCCCCCTCGCGGACTCGGCATGCTCCAGCATATGCGCTCAGAGCATGTCAATTGAGCTCAGCCTAGGCTGGATCTCGTCCTCGCAGCGGGCCCAGAGAGAAGAACCGCCGATAGCTCGCGGGCCGCGCCCGGGCTGCCCGGACGCTGAATTCGGCCCCGAGGTTCTTTACGAAGTCTTGGACTTGAGCCAGGCCACTTGGCGGCGCTTGGCGTTGAGCGCGGCAGCTGCGTGCTCCTCTGCATTGAGCGCCCCCTGCACAGCACACCGCGAGCTGAGGCCTACAGCATCGCTTTGGTTTGCTGCAACTGGCTCTGCGTGCTCAGCACGCCCGGAGCCCAACTGCCCGAAGACCTCGAGTTGAAGAGAGTGGTTCAGGAAGCCTATAAAGCAAGAAGAGCTAAGAAGAGCTGAAGAGGTTTTGGTGCCTTTGGTGTCGTTGTGCCCAGGCTGGCTTGTTTCGAGCAGATCGACGAGATCGCCCAGCCTGGAGCCGGAGAGAAAGCAAAGGCAAAAGCGCGACTCCGCGCCGACGATCCGAGGCTGCAGCGGCGGATCTGCCGCTACCGCGAGAGGCACGCGCGGAGAGCGACCGGGGACGGGAGGAGGGGGACGGGGCACGGGAGCCTCGCCAGGAGCGACCGCGTCCAGGAGACCAGCGCCAGCCCCCTCGCTACATACTCCGCTCTCTACACTATTTCTCACTCTCTCTCCTCTACCTTCACCTCAAAGTGCGTTGGACTGGAGCAGGCTCCGGTGTGTGACCACTCTGGGCACCATGTAGCTGCAATGTAGCTGTGCCAAGCATATGTCCTGCACATGCTGCTAGCACATTGCGAACATGTTGGCACACTGTGAGTCTTTCACTTGCGAGATTCCAAATAAATCTAGATCCTCGGGCTCATGTCTAATGGGAGCGTGGACGCTTGAGTAGAGGTTGACCGTTTCCGGCTGGCGAAAGTTCTGCAGCTAGTGTTGAATCTGGGGATTGGCCACGTGCCGCGTGGCACTGGTTTCGTTCTTCGCAAAGCCTTGGGCGCTACTTCATTCCCATCTTGCTCTTGGGCGGGTCAGGCCCGTGATTCGGGCTTAGTGAAGGTGCGCTAGAAGGCATATTCGCAAACCAACAACGCGACTCGGGAGACGCCATGTGCTGTCTCGTGCAACCCACAAGACAAGATCTTCTCAGGAGCAGCACCGGGAAGCCAAGGAGAATTGGACCAAGGTTACAGCCATAGAGACAGCACGGCTTCTCACGAAATTGTGGCTCGACTTTCCGTGCAAATCTTCAGGTTCAGCAGTTACACGACCTCTGGAATTACCGCACGCAGCCCTTCCTTAGCATCTGTGGCCGCGACCTCACCTCGGCCTCAAGGCAGTGGTGTGTTTTATTTTGGCGGTGATAGTGTCCCCAGAGTCCCAGGCAAGATTCACCGGGCCTTGGACAACAAGGTCAGCAGCGGTCAGCAGTTGCAGACGTGAAAGAAGTCGAGCCCTGCAGGACAGGGAGGATGCCAGGCTCGCAGCATCTGTCAGCACAGTGTGACAGTGTGTGTTTGCATCTATACATTGGACATGTTGTCTTGCATTTTCGAGGGTCAACAGAACCCACGACAAAGTGTCCGTTTTTCACAAGGCCCTACAAGCAAACCACACACCGTACATGAAGGTCCTACACACATACTTTCCATGTGTGTTCAGGCGTCGACGGGTTTTATTTGTGTCTATACTACGCTCTTTCGAAAAGAGATACCTCCTTGCGCGTATTTTATTTGTCGGAACTCGCTCTAAGAGGGGAACGAGATAGGGGCACCGCATGAAACGCGATCAAGTACATTTGCGAGACGATGCAGCCCCATCTGAAGTCGAAGCTGAAAGCGACGTTGTTCGGCATGATTCCGTCATAGACACTGCTTTCCGAGGGATTGCTGGTACTTTGGGGTTTTGACATAGATGTTTGGGGTGGCTTCGGCTAGGTGTTTTGTCATAGGCACATCTTTTATCTGTTCTGTCATAGACACTTCCTTGGGAGGGAGTGCTTGTAGTTAGTCATTGGCAAGTCTTTCCCATGACACGATGTAGAGTCACGGCCATTTTGGGTGTGATAACACATTGCGTATATTTAACAATGTCTGTGAGTATGTGCATATGGGTATATGCATTTACACTGTGTTTAGGTCTGTATGTGTATGTGTATCTTATATGTGTATGTGTATGTGTATGTGTATGTATATATATATATATCATGTGTCGAGTTTGGCAGGCTTGGGTGCACATGAATCATTTGTTATCGTGCATCCTGCCTTTTGGTTAAAGCCGTGGCAGTTGAGCCAAAAAGGCAGATTTGTTTGCGATAGCCTCAGGAGTTGAACCTGTTTGCAGTGGTGCCCGCATCATGGATCATGAATGTTGAGGGTTACGGCTATCACACTTTCAGGCAGACCCTGGCTACACCGGCATACCTGGATTGGGGGCTTCGGCTGCGGGAGCTCTACGAGGCCGGTGACCGGGTGGGTGCCTTGTGCACTGGAGCCGGGGGCTGGAAGTGCAGCATGTTCCGCCTGTCTTTGAGAGACCTGCCGAGTGTGACGGCACGTTGCCCCCGACACCTATTGCAGCTTGCACGGACTTGCAGTGTGCCCGGTGCTCTCGCCGACGGGGGGCTTTCAATTCCCATTCGTCGGGACCTTTACAAGGAGGGGTTTTCTTGTTAGGGCGGGCTTGCCGCTTTGCCCGAGCCGAACAGTGCACTGTTCGCCTTAGCGAAAGTGAGGCCAGAGCTGCTTGGTCGGGCCTGCTGGTCGGCGACATCCTGCCAGCCCATTTGCACAATCTGGTCCAGCGGATGGCTGTGAACACCCATCCGAGGCTGGGTCGTGGCACGGAACTTTGGCTGGTGTGGCGGGATTGGCAGGAGGGCGAGCGGGCCTGGAGAGAGCCCTCCTTGCGACCCGTGGCAAGCCGGGAGCAAGCACGAGGTGACGTGCAGGCCAGGGCAGGAAGAGCCCTTTGGTATTGGCTTGGCATGTTGCAAGCCGACGATGGCACCAGGTTGCATTGTGCATGCCAGTCGTGTGGTTTGCCGACTGGTCTCATCTGCAACCACTGTAGGGCGACCTGCTGCCACAATTGCAGGGGCGACTGCATTATGTGCCCAGGGGCAGCCGATGAGTGAGATGATTTCAAGGGAGCGGGGAGTTGAGCCCGCAGCCCAGTGCTGGAGCGTTGCCGGTGGGCCTCTTTGGGCTGAGGGGGAAACCCGTGAATATTACTCGTGGCCACGAGCATGCTTATGACAGGAGTGGCCCTGGACCTTGCTTCCTTGGCGGTGGCGACCCACCTGGTCCTGTCTCCTCCTGTCCTTTTTCTCCATCCCCTCAGGCCATGACAGAGAACGGAGCTTATGTTGCTCAGGCCCATGCTAGCAGCACAGTCATGGCGGGGGTTTATGCGCAGCAGTCAATGGAAGCGGCTGCGGATGCGGAGGCGGAGCCTGCCTCTTCTTCCTCCGGCCTTTTCGGCGAAGGGTCGTCGGCGGAGATGCGGGTAGCAACGTGGCGCAAGGCCTTTGCCCTGACAGCCGACAGTGACTTCGCCTATGTTTTCATGAGCTAGGAGGAGGCATCGCGCCAAGCCGGAGCAGAAGTGGCTGCGGCGTGGAAGTCGGTCCGGGCGTCGGCCGACGAGCAGGCAGCGCTTGCCTTTGCGCATGACACAGGCCAGCCGACCCAAAGCAGCTGCCGCAGGTATTCAAACCGAGGTCCTGGATGAGATGACGGAAAGCACTTCCTGTGAGATTGTGCGCAGGTTCTACAGAAACCGAGGCGGAGCACATCGAAAGGAAAAAGATGTGTGGAGCGACTGCAGTAGCCTAGTTATGCGATAAACGAATGTATGTGTGTATATATATATACATATATATATATATACATATATATATATATATACATATATATATAATTATAATGGTGTGTATAAGTGTATATATGAGTCTTTATGTATGTATATATGTACATATGTCTCAATGTGTATATATATATATATGTCATATATATGTATATGTATATAACTATATAATTATAACTATATACATATATGTACTTATGTAGCTATGCTTAATAATACTATAAATAATGGTGGGTATGTGTATATATATATGTGCCCGATACCT